CCTGAAGGCTAGTTGAAGCTTCCGTTAGCTCCAACACATCAGTCATGACTAAGTCTGCCACTGACCTATTCTCTGTCTCCACCGGCTCCCACTGAAATGAACTGCCCGATCCTGGAACATCTTGAGAACAAACGACACTCTCCATATGAAGTAGATAATCTGGAGAGACTTTTACAGATGGAATACTGGTTCTCTTAACCCACTGTGTTCTGGGTATTCTAGCTGAAGCACAACCCTTGCTCCCACTGCTATGAATGCCCTTGACTGGTTTTTCTGAACCGTTCCAAACACGTTCAACCTGAATCTGACCTGTGACTCTGGGTTTGCCATCTGCAAAGCAAACCTTCTTCTGTCCACGAGACTCTATGAACCGGATTTTGTTTTTCTTCTGAACTGGGACGGTTACTCCCTCAGATGGTAATCTGACCATATATAATGAACCCTTCTTATGTCCACGAGCTATCACAAGATTTCCTTTGACAACCTTCCACTGCCCATTCCTGAACTTAACCTCGTGTCCCTGTTCATCCAACTGCCCAACATAAATCAATTGTTTCTTCAGACTTGGAATTACCCGGACATCCTTCAAAGTCCATGGACCAACTGGAGTCTTCAAAACTAAGTCACCTATGCTCGTCACATCAAGAACCTCATCGTTCTCCAGTCTTACCTTACCAAAATCTCCTTCTTTTAGATTCTGCAGTGCTTCACGGCTGTGGGTAGCGTGAAATGAAGCACCCGAATCCATAACCCAGGAATCCACATTGCTCTCCACACTACAGATCAAAACATCATCATCTGAATGGTCTACTGCAGCGTTAACTTATTTCTTGTCTTTTGGACATTGATTCCTGAAATGTCCAACCTCTTTACAGTTCCAACAAGTCACATCATTTCGAGTCCTCGACTGACTCCTTCTCCTGTTCCCGCTCCCACTACCTCTGTTATTTTTTCTACCTCTGACCGCATTCAATTGTTCACTTGATGATTCCCCGGAATTTCTTCGTCTGACGTCTTCGCCTAGAATTAAATCCCGAATTCCCTCAAAAGTGAGCTCTTTCGATCCCGAGGAACTAGTAACAGCTGTAACTGTTCCGGACCAACTGTCAGGTAATGATGATAACAGTAGTAAAGCTTGAACTTCGTCCTCAAATTTTATTCCCACTGACCCAAGTCTGGATAAAATCGAGTTCAAATTGTTGATGTGTACTGTAACTGAACTTCCTTCCCTCATCCTCGTGTTGACTAGCTCCCGAATCAGGAAAACTTTATTTGCTGCCGACGGCTTCTCGTACATATTAGACAATGCCTCCATGATTCCCTTTGCCGAGGTCTCCTTCAAAATGTTGAAGGCAACATCCTTTGACAACGTCAGTCTAATAAATGCCTTGGCCTTCTTATCCAAAATCTCCCAGTTTGCCTGTGTTATCGCCTCCGGTTTTTCACCTAAAACTGCGTCCAAGTCTTTCTGCACGAACAAATCTTCAATTTGCATCTTCCACCAACCAAAATCTTTCCCATCAAACTTCTCAATCTGAAGCTTACCGTTTTCTGCCATTTTCTGAAAGATTAGGGGCTAAACTGCAATTTTCTGAAAGTTCAGGGGCTAAACTGCAATTTTTCAAATCTGCTACAGTGTTGCTACAGTGCCTGCTGACGTCACCGCTGACGTCGTGCTACAGTGCTTGCTACAGTTTCTGTTGACGTCACCGCTGACGTCGTGCTACAGTGCCTGCTACAGTGTCGTCTTCTCCGTCAGAACTCCGGTGCTACAGTGTCGTCTTCTCCGGCGGAACTTCGGTACTACAGTGTCGTCTTCTCCGGCGGAACTTCGGTGCTACAGTGTCGTCTTCTCCGGCGAAACTGGTTTTTCCGGTAACTATTCCGGCAACCTTTGACCGGCGATTTGGACGTCTTCCGGTGGTCAAAAAATTCAGAAAAAAATATTTTCGGAATCTTCGGAACGAGACCTTTCCAACGGTATACACCAAAATCGTTTTTGACGAAAAAAAATTTCGACCAAAAACTGAAAATCACCTTCTGGAGCTAAAACCTTGCTCTGATACCACTTGTTAGGATCGAGACACTTAACACACGACTCTAAACACACACACAGCTCACGAAAAACAAGAACACAAGGATGAACACGAGGGATTTAACGTGGTTCGGTCCTTCTCTGACCTACGTCTACCGGTAACTAGGAGTTTATATTTCTTGGTGCTAATCTGCACTCACTCTTTGTTGCTTATTTTTACAATACAGATGAGACTCATATATAGAGTCTGAAGTAAACAATTGAACAAGAAAAGCAGCCATGAAACATGCATCCGGGAAATATGGATCACCTCTCCTTTTCCACCATTTTGACTTGCTTTTCTTCCATGTTTTCTGCCATGTTTTCTGCCTTTTGACCAGCCCAATGGCTTCACACTCAACAATCTCCCACTTGAAGCCACGAAACAATCTTCACCATAACTTCAACTGTGTATCTGTAATTTTGTAAAACTTTTGATCTTGACTCCTTCCTAGTTACCCTGGCCTTCTCTTCAATTTACCTGAAGGCTAGTTGAAGCTTCCGTTAGCTCCAACACATCAGTCATGACTAAGTCTGCCACTGACCTATTCTCTGTCTCCACCGGCTCCCACTGAAATGAACTGCCCGATCCTGGAACATCTTGAGAACAAACGACACTCTCCATATGAAGTAGATAATCTGGAGAGACTTTTACAGATGGAATACTGGTTCTCTTAACCCACTGTGTTCTGGGTATTCTAGCTGAAGCACAACCCTTGCTCCCACTGCTATGAATGCCCTTGACTGGTTTTTCTGAACCGTTCCAAACACGTTCAACCTGAATCTGACCTGTGACTCTGGGTTTGCCATCTGCAAAGCAAACCTTCTTCTGTCCACGAGACTCTATGAACCGGATTTTGTTTTTTCTTCTGAACTGGGACGGTTACTCCCTCAGATGGTAATCTGACCATATATAATGAACCCTTCTTATGTCCACGAGCTATCACAAGATTTCCTTTGACAACCTTCCACTGCCCATTCCTGAACTTAACCTCGTGTCCCTGTTCATCCAACTGCCCAACATAAATCAATTGTTTCTTCAGACTTGGAATTACCCGGACATCCTTCAAAGTCCATGGACCAACTGGAGTCTTCAAAACTAAGTCACCTATGCTCGTCACATCAAGAACCTCATCGTTCTCCAGTCTTACCTTACCAAAATCTCCTTCTTTTAGATTCTGCAGTGCTTCACGGCTGTGGGTAGCGTGAAATGAAGCACCCGAATCCATAACCCAGGAATCCACATTGCTCTCCACACTACAGATCAAAACATCATCATCTGAATGGTCTACTGCAGCGTTAACTTATTTCTTGTCTTTTGGACATTGATTCCTGAAATGTCCAACCTCTTTACAGTTCCAACAAGTCACATCATTTCGAGTCCTCGACTGACTCCTTCTCCTGTTCCCGCTCCCACTACCTCTGTTATTTTTTCTACCTCTGACCGCATTCAATTGTTCACTTGATGATTCCCCGGAATTTCTTCGTCTGACGTCTTCGCCTAGAATTAAATCCCGAATTCCCTCAAAAGTGAGCTCTTTCGATCCCGAGGAACTAGTAACAGCTGTAACTGTTCCGGACCAACTGTCAGGTAATGATGATAACAGTAGTAAAGCTTGAACTTCGTCCTCAAATTTTATTCCCACTGACCCAAGTCTGGATAAAATCGAGTTCAAATTGTTGATGTGTACTGTAACTGAACTTCCTTCCCTCATCCTCGTGTTGACTAGCTCCCGAATCAGGAAAACTTTATTTGCTGCCGACGGCTTCTCGTACATATTAGACAATGCCTCCATGATTCCCTTTGCCGAGGTCTCCTTCAAAATGTTGAAGGCAACATCCTTTGACAACGTCAGTCTAATAAATGCCTTGGCCTTCTTATCCAAAATCTCCCAGTTTGCCTGTGTTATCGCCTCCGGTTTTTCACCTAAAACTGCGTCCAAGTCTTTCTGCACGAACAAATCTTCAATTTGCATCTTCCACCAACCAAAATCTTTCCCATCAAACTTCTCAATCTGAAGCTTACCGTTTTCTGCCATTTTCTGAAAGATTAGGGGCTAAACTGCAATTTTCTGAAAGTTCAGGGGCTAAACTGCAATTTTTCAAATCTGCTACAGTGTTGCTACAGTGCCTGCTGACGTCACCGCTGACGTCGTGCTACAGTGCTTGCTACAGTTTCTGTTGACGTCACCGCTGACGTCGTGCTACAGTGCCTGCTACAGTGTCGTCTTCTCCGTCAGAACTCCGGTGCTACAGTGTCGTCTTCTCCGGCGGAACTTCGGTACTACAGTGTCGTCTTCTCCGGCGGAACTTCGGTGCTACAGTGTCGTCTTCTCCGGCGAAACTGGTTTTTCCGGTAACTATTCCGGCAACCTTTGACCGGCGATTTGGACGTCTTCCGGTGGTCAAAAAATTCAGAAAAAAATATTTTCGAAATCTTCGGAACGAGACCTTTCCAACGGTATACACCAAAATCGTTTTTGACGAAAAAAAATTTCGACCAAAAACTGAAAATCACCTTCTGGAGCTAAAACCTTGCTCTGATACCACTTGTTAGGATCGAGACACTTAACACACGACTCTAAACACACACACAGCTCACGAAAAACAAGAACACAAGGATGAACACGAGGGATTTAACGTGGTTCGGTCCTTCTCTGACCTACGTCCACCGGTAACTAGGAGTTTATATTTCTTGGTGCTAATCTGCACTCACTCTTTGTTGCTTATTTTTACAATACAGATGAGACTCATATATAGAGTCTGAAGTAAACAATTGAACAAGAAAAGCAGCCATGAAACATGCATCCGGGAAATATGGATCACCTCTCCTTTTCCACCTTTTTGACTTGCTTTTCTTCCATGTTTTCTGCCATGTTTTCTGCCTTTTGACCAGCCCAATGGCTTCACACTCAACACCAGAGATATGCAGCGAAATCCCTCAAGTGTGCAACGCATGAAGCTGCTTGGAGCTCAGGTACTGCTTTCCATTTCTCAAGTCAAATTAAGCACCTATTCCCCCAAAGTAATTCTTTATAGTATCAAATTAAAGAAACTAAGTTTTCAAAAAATTGTGTAAGTATAGGTTAAGGCTGTTGATGGGAATTTTCAGGCGGCAGTATCAGAATCAACTAGGTCATGGATAGAAAACCTAGAAACTGGATATTACTTAGCAGGAACAGCGGTGGGCCCACACCCTATCCCTACAATGGTCCGTGAATTCTATTCGGTGATTGGAAAAGAAACAAGGAAGCAAGCAATTGAGAAATGGGGTGGCGTGCCAGATGTGTTGGTTGCTTGTGTAGGGACTGGTTGTAATGCTTTAGGTTTGTTTCATGAATTCATAGGGGATGAAAGTGTACGGATGATTGGAATTGAGGGAGGTGGGGTAGGAAGTAAAACCAGAGATTTACATTCTGCAAGTCTTGTAAGAGGTGAAGTTGGTGTTTATCATGGAGCAATGTGTTATTCGCTACAAGATGGAGATGTCAAATCATTAGAACAGAGTCAGTGGCTAGTGGGTATGTATTATTGAATATATAGAGTGCTTTAATACTTTGAGCAATTTTTTTTTTGTTCAAGATTTGGATTCTTAAGGAGTAATTTGGTAATTTGCAGATTGGAGTTTCCAGGAGTAAGCCCAGAACTAAGTTTTCTAAAAGATTCTGGCAGACTGGAATGTTACACCGTTACTGATCAAGAAGCTCTTGATGGTAAGTAAGCAAATAACTTAAACTAATTATTATATATATATATATATATATATATATATATATATATATATATATATATATCTATATATATATATATATATATATATATATATATATATATATATTAAGATTGTGAAAAATTTTAACAATAAAGTGGCTGATGGGTTGGCAAAAGTAGTCCCTTTTTATTTGTCTATTGTCAATTGTGTTTGGGCTTTCATGTCCGTCAAAAATGCCCCACTTCTTTCTTAAAATTACAATTTGCTCCGTCTAGGTTTATGTGAAAATTTTATATCTGGGTCGGTGTGTTGGACAGACGTTCGACACGTGTTCTCTTTCTGGAAATTTCCACCGCCTCTCCGACCAAATCTCTTTCTATTCTCTTTCCAGGGTTGATTGGTATACCTGTGTTCTGTCTCTCCTCTATCTTCGTTATCGTTATTACCAATTCTTTTACATTTTCAATCTGTTTACTTCCATCACCAAAAGAGATTGAGATGCTTCTCGAACCTTTTGATAACCACCCCACCGATTCACCGATTGTTCTCCACCGCCTTATCTCATGTATTTGATTTTTTTTTCTCACTGCCTCCATCAGATGCTCATACGCTCTCCACCGGTCATCCTCCTACTAAGGACTTTGTTTTCTCTTCATCCCTCTCTCTCTATAATCGATTCGATTTTGCTTCTCTTCCACTTTTGTTTTCCTCTCTTACTCCACTTCTGCTGTAATAGAATCCTTAGAGATATAAAAATGTCGATCACTTCCACTCCTGTCGTCTTGTCTGTGCCATTTTATTCCAACTCGAATCTCAGGTCTCGTCGATAAGGTAAGGGAGTAACATAGCTTCAAACCTAGGAGCCAAAGTTAGAACCGCTTACTACTATTTGTCGATTTTCTATATCTGCTCGTCCTCACCATCAAACCCAATTTTTCACTGGGTTTTTATTTTTGTCGCAAGTTATTTTTGCAGTTGTTGCGCACACCAACTGCTCGATATATTGCTCCAAAGAATAGTTATCTTTTTACTTTCTTTTTACCTGCTTTCATTTATGCGGGTTCATGTATGATGTTTTGGTTATATTAGTTTTTTTATAGTTCCTTTGATGTTGATTGATTTATAGATGATGTGGTGATGACGACTGATGTTGTGGTTTTGTCCATTCAAAGAATATGATATCAAAGAAGAAGGCCAAACGGATGGAGCATGGAATCAGATTAAGGACAAAAACGAAAACAAATAACTGTGTACCGACCTTTTATCATAGTTGTTCTGTTTTGTCTGTATATTTTACATTTTTTTATCAAATGGTCTATATGGTGCAACCTTACACGCCTGTTATCATTTTCAGATTATTCCCAATTTTTATTTCTTGATGACAGATGTGTACCTATTTGATGCCATTATATAATGTTTCATTTCATGATTTCAATACAGGTATGCGGCAGAACAAGAGAATGAAACTCTCTCTAATTTATTCAGGGGGTTCGTTCATGACATTTGTTGTGTGAAGTTTGTTCTCTTAGATTCACAAATTAAAGTCTTTCTTTAATATTAATTTATTATGTGTTTATCTGTTTAACTTTGTGCGTATTTGGTCATTCATTGGATACCCAAGGACAGCTAAGTTAGAATTCCCAGTCAAAATCTTTTTTTTTTTAAATCTCCATTGGGTTTCAAATCTTAGTCCTATTTATGGATATATGGCTTATATGTTGCAAAATTTGTAGTTTGCATTTAGATTCCTTATTTTCAAAACAATGTTGATCTGTTGATACTGCCTTGCAGGGTTCTGTAGCCACAAAGAAACTCAAGGACCTGAAAAGGAAGGCTGGAGCAGAGAGGTTGTTATGACGATATCATCAAATAATAATAACTCATTAGAAATTTAAAATAAAAGATATTATTTTATCTATAATCATCATTCTATTCTCTGTATTCAGATTTGGGATCACATAAGTAACACACAGTTAAGAAGACAACAAGAAGAAAGTTAGACTTTCTACGTTTCAATCGGCTTCAAGTGCTGGTTCTCTTGAAGAACAGAAAAAGAAGGCAACGAGCAACAATACCCACAGGGGGTCGAAGAGGCGATCCTCTGCTTCCGACATTGCATCTTCATGTATGTTTTTTCTTCACATGGATGTGGATTAGGTTTTATTTGACAACAGATGGAATTTCGCTTTGGGCCAAACTGATTACGCATCTATTTCTTGATATTAATTCTTAATTGAATACCCTAACTTTCGAACCATGGCTGAAAAACAATGGAGATTGATAGGGCAAAGTACGGGCTGAAGTTAGCATTATTGGAGTAAATTACTGTTATGTTCAGTTGTTATTGTGTATGCTACGTTTACCATTTTTTTCATTTATTTCAGGTAACTGATGCAGAAGTTAGCATTATTGTTGTTGAACAGGTTAATTTGGAAAAGTTTAAATCATAATTTTGTAACGATTTCTTAATGTTATTATGTACATAAACTGTTGAATTTGAATGCTTTCAGCCATATTCAATTCATCAAGATTATGCATTTATTCGTACAACTCTCCCTCAATTCTTACTCTCCGATATGAGGTAAGCCTACCCTGACCCTCTGAACTCTCTCCTGATAACACAGTTAACAACACGTGATACCCTATGTTGCTGCATAGTTTCTGTCTAAATAGTTTTAACATATCAATGGTTGTAATATTTTTTTGTCCATATTATGCTATAGTTATCTGTCTATTAAACCATTTTCTCTTTAAACATGTAGTACGCCGAAAGAGTGATTTTGAGGAATCTTGGATTGATTAGTCCCAAATACAAAGAAGATGAGAAAAGAACAACCCGTTTGTCTACTTCGATGTGTCTACTCATTAACGTCTAAAGATCTCCTTTCATTTTGGTTTCCTGTTGGATTGGAGGTTAGGCTGCATAATCTTATAATCATACCATTTTTTTTGTTATATCCCAGCCAATCTCTGTGATTTAATGTTATTTGCTACATTTAATTTCAGGTTAACACTATCGAGAGGACACCATCAATGACTTAACTGAGATGAATACTTCTTGGATAGGTTGTATGTATTAAAAAGGCTTTTCACTTTTGTTAAAATCAAACACATTTATCTAAAACTATGTCATTTTTAACATGTTGGTATTTTTTTTCAGGAACACCTTAAACAAAATGATCTTTCCTTTGTATTCAGGTTGCCTCAAATCCACTATTTTCTCCTACTAACTCCAATTTTATTTTGTCACCATCATAAACTATTTTATACATAAACGTTTCTTATGTTGCTAATATAGAATTTTTTTCATAGGCTATACATTAAAATAAAAGTTAATATTGTTTTTGTGTTAATCAAGAAGTAATGAATGCATACAACGTTATTGGTCATATTACATAATTAATAATTTGGTAGTAATATTTTAATAAAAGTAAACAAATCTATTAATCGTTCATGGCTCAGAGAAAATCAATTTGACACTATAATAATGTTAGATAATAAAAAAAATTGATAATAATAATAAATTTAAAAAAAATTCCGTATACATTGCTTTTAAACATCAATTAAAAATGAATTATGACTTTAAGTCTTTTGTTTGTTTTAGGTTTAAATGCAAGAAATAGCAACACAGTTTCATTGATATGCCCATTATACCACCCTACTTGCATTTCTTCATAACATATCCCTCCACAAAAAGTAATTATTATAGTTTTTAATCACGTATCCTACGTGATTCATACCTCATCACTCATGCAGGTGAAATCAACATTTCAAAATGGAAAAAAAGTTGGATTGAAGGTGTTTGGGGATAACTCGAACAACACCTCTGACCCCTTTTTAGAAAGTTGTTGCCGATTTAGGTAAAAAAAAATCTTTTCCGTTCAGCTTTTTACCGGTTCTATTTTGGAATTATGTGTACAAATGAAGGTGTATGACACCATCACTATTGCACCCTCCTTTAGCTGGTGAATGTGAATCAGAGAAATTCAAAAATACTTATGTTCTACACAGTTATAACATGTATGTGGGTGTTTTGATATCCTTATTCTATTTCTATACGCATGTGAATGTGAATGTACTGAATATGGAAGTAGTATCCTACTTTCATATTGTTCCATTTTCTTAGAAGTATGCTGTTGTAACAAGAAAAAATCATAAGTAGAATGCTATTCTTGGTTCACTTTTTAAAATATAATAGAATAATTGGTTTATTTTTGAAACTATGATGTTATAAAAAGCTTATACTCTGACTTTGTATTGTTTTACTAGGTGTACGCAGGCTTTGCCATATGCATGCTATAATGGAAAAAAATTGGGAATTCATAAGAAGTATATGAAGTGCTACATATATAAAGCACAAATTTCTTGAGTTGATTAACCATCCAGGTAACAACTCTTTTCCAAATGTATGCACTTGATAAGGTTACTTTTTTATTTAGAAAATTCAAAACTTCATACACCTTGACAAAACCTTTATTTTTGTACAATGTTGTTTTAGGAATAGAAAGAAATTGGGAGGTGGAATAAGGGAAACATAATTTGTTATTGCTTTTGTCGGCTGGAAATAGACTGAAAAGGAGCTTCAACCAATCAAGCATCTTTCTCTGTTTAGTGTCGCGCCGAGTCTGATTTATTTTTTGTCGGCTGGAAATAGACTGAAAAGGAGCTTCAACCAATCAAGCATCTTTCTCTGTTTAGTGTCGCGCCGAGTCTGATTTATTTTTAGCTAGATGAGATTGAGATTCTGCCCCCCGCGGAGCGGGGGTAACCCTCTAGTATATATAAAAGTGTAGGAAAGCGATTGAGTTGGTCATATTGAATTATATGTGAAGTTAATCATTGTACTTTTGGAAGAAGTATATGTAAATTTTATAAAGTTTCGTAAGCCATTATATTGGCGAATCTAGAACCAAAAACAACGTTATTTTTTATGTAATAAAAAAAATGAAAGAGTAAAAGATGCTAGTACAGTTGGGTCATGTGATTCAAATATTTAAACATAATTTCAATAGTTATCACCTTCAATTTTTATTTATTTATTTATTTAATTTTTTATAGTTTTATTGGATTGGACTATTGCATTTAAATGGACTGATGTATTGGGCTATTATAAATACATCAAAATAAAAATATAGACTCATATAAATTGATACAATTTTTTTTCAAAATAAAATATAGTAGGTAAGTCCTAGGAAATTTATAAAGTAGTTCCTATTTTGTTTTATAACTATTTTTTTTTTCAAAAAAAATAGGTGGGTCCTAAGACCCACCTTCACTTAAGTTAGATGCACCACAACACCGTCATGTCTTGCACCTAATTTTTGGACAAAATTATTTCAGGATACAAACGATTATGCCATCTTGAAGGGATAATACCTGCATTAGAGACCTCTCATGCTTTTGCCTATCTCGAAAAGCTTTGTCCTACACTGCCTCATGGCGTGAAGGTTGTGGTTAATTGTAGCGGCACTAGGTACAACGACGTCTTGCAGTCCTCAAAATGAAATATTGTAGTTGTCTAAAAATTCATCAGATACGGTTTAGTTAACAAGACCGTACCGTAGGATGGTAGCTGCATACTTTCATATATGTACAGATGCATATAAAGTACACCATATAACAAGAATACATTGTCGGAGTTCGTGCAAGAAGATAGAAATAATTTTACATGTTAAATAATGCTTAACTGCAATTCCTAGGATGGGAATGGGATGGAAAAAGGATGGATATAGCCATACCTATATGTTGTAGAGATTTTTCCCCGCAATCCAGATTATAGTTGTGTGGTAAAAACACAAAGATCGTATGCATGTTAATTGATAATTATTGAATTTTTGATTGATTTCCGTTCCAAATATTCCATATATACATACAATAAACATGATCCATGAGCCACTGATACAAAGTGGCAAATTATACAATATGAGATAAATATACTAATATCCCCCCACAATGTGACATGGGGGAGGATTTTGGACATTCACACTAGATCAAAAATATGAAAATAGGGTAATTTCTTGGTGAAGATATTTACATATTGTGAACTTATTTTATGTAAATCAAGCGAATGAGGTCAAAGACAACTTTGTCCCGGGTAAAGTGAATATCAATTTTAATGTGTATGGTACACTGATGTTGAGATTAATTAGATGTCATATACACAATGTTGAATGCAATTAGATGTTATCACAATACACAATCATGGATTTTGTACTTCTTGCAAAAGATTGCGAATATAACATGTTTCTTCAACTTCCTCCGAAGTCCATGACACAGGCACGCAGCATGTCCTCAAGCGTCTGAATCGTCTGCTCGCTCTACCCGTCCGTCTGCGGGTGGTACGCAGTACTAAAATGATAGCGCGTGCCCAACTCCTCGTGAAATTTCTTCCAGAATCTGGAAGTAAAGTTCACGTATCGATCTGACACTATCGAGATCGGCACTCCATGCCGAGATACCGCCTCTCTCACATAAATCTCGGCCAATCTCTCTGCAGAAGAGCTCTCACTAATAGCAAGGAAGTGAACACTCTTCGTCAGTCGGTCCACAATCATCCAAATCGCGTCAACTCCACGCTCGGTCCTCGGTAACTTGGTGATAAAGTCCATAGAGATCTGTTCCCACTTCCACTGGGGAATCTCCAGAGGCTGCAATAGACCATGTGGGCGCTGGTGCTCTGCCTTGACCCGACGGCAGGTCAAGCACCTCTCAACTACCCAAGCAACATCCCGCTTCATACAGGGCCACCAGTAATCTCTCTTCAGGTCCAAATACATCTTAGTAGCCCTGGGATGGATCGAGAATCTTGATCTATGCGCCTCCTCCATCAGTATACGCCGAGCTCCGCCCGTAAAGGGAACCCAAATCCGCCCTCAGAAGGTCATAAGTCCACGACTGTCCGTCACAAACTCGGAAAACTGCCCAATCACACGCTCTCTTACGGTTCTCCGGTTTCACAGCCTCCACCTGAGCTTGTCGGATGGTATCTAAGACTGGAGTCATCACCGTCATCCTCAAACATACATCCCGGATCGAAACGCTCTCGGCTCTGCGGCTCAAGGCGTCGGCTACCACATTAGCCTTGCCTGGGTGATATAAGATCTCGTAGTCGTAGTCCTTCACTACATCCAGCCATCTCCTCTGCCGCATGTTCAGGTTGGGCTGATCCATCAAGTACTTTAGACTCTTATGGTCCGTGTATATGGTACACCGGACTCCGTACAAATAGTGGCGCCAGATCTTGAGGGCGAACACCACCGCCCCCAGCTCCATATCGTGGGTGGGATATCTCGTCTCATGAGGCTTCAACTGCCTCGATGCGTATGCTATCACGTGCCCTCTCTGCATCAGCACCGCACCCAACCCGGATATAGACGCATCACAGAAAACCACAAAGTCCTCCACTCCTTCGGGAAGGGCTAACACCGGGGCTTCGCACAATCTATGGCGAAGAGTCTCAAATGAGGTCTGCTGCTCGGGACCCCAAGTAAAAGTAACGCCCTTCCGGGTCAACCTGGTGAGGGGGACGACAATCTTGGAGAAATCTCTGATAATAGCCGGCCAATCCCAGAAAACTCCTGATCTCGGATGGGGATCTCGGCACCTCCCATAGCATAACTGCCTCAATCTTGGCCGGGTCGACCAATATCCCATTCTGATTAACGAGATGTCCTAAGAACTGGACCTCTCGTAACCAGAAGTCACACTTGGAGAATTTGGCATATAGCCTCTCCGATCTCAAAACTCCCAAAACCTCTCTAAGATGCTCCTCGTGCTGATCCCTGGACCTCGAGTACACAAGAATATCGTCGATGAACACGATCACCGATCGATCCAACATGGGCCTCCACACCCGGTTCATGAGGTCCATGAACGCCGCCAGTGCGTTGGTGAGCCCGAAGGGCATCACCACAAACTCGTAGTGCCCATAACGAGTCCTAAAGGCCGTCTTCGGAATATCCTCCTCGCAAACCCTCATCTAATGATATCCGGACCTCAGATCAATCTTGGAGAACCAAGATGCCCCCTGCAACTGAT